TATATATATATATAGCACCTTTGGTGGGATGGACAGTATTAGGATCCAAATACACTAGAACTTTAGTGTCTCTGGAAATAATGACATCAGTTAGAAAGTTGTGGAATGGAATGTCTAATAAAAAAAGATTTGACCCTTTTTCCCATGCTAAATTGACTTTATGGGGAAACCCAATTCTAAACATTGGGAAAGAAATGGTGATATGGAAAAATTGGATGGAAGTGGGGATATTGACTTTGGACCAACTGATAGATGATTAATTTTTAACATATGCTGTATTAAGAGATAAATATCATCTATCAGATGTAACCCAATGGCAATATTTACAGCTATAACATTTGTTAACATTGTTTAGGCCAGCAGCATTTTCAGCCTCTAAAACACATGACATTCTAGAACAACTTGTTAAATCCTTTAACACTAAAAAAAACTACTGTTAGTTTTTATAGATATTTGTTATCCAATTTGATATGCAGATGCTAAGAAATGAGTGGAATAAAGAATTAGAGGTTCCCATATTGCCTAGACAATGGGAGAGTGTCTAAATTTCCATAGCGTGAGTGTCAATGGACCTTAAACTATGACTTGTATAATAAAAAATAATATTTAGAATTGATTGGACTCTATTACATTTATGTAAAAAAAAATTTTTTTTGTGTTGTCTCCTCCCCTGATATGAATGGGCGAGGTTTTGAACCCACGGTATTCTGAATTCATACTGGAACATTTAATTTTGTTGGAGATGAAATAAGGATAATGCTTCTTTAAAACACATGTTTTTCCAATGTCCTATACTTACATTTTGGGAGAAAGTAGTGGACTATATAAATATGACTGTGAGACAAAAGTAAAAGTTTCAGAGGATAATATTCTCTTGAATTACATACGTAGTACATGGAATTTGACAACTGGACACCATAAATGGATTCTCTGTGCCCTTACTATGGCCAAAAGGCCGATATTGCAGCATTGGAAGGATAAATGTGTGGCCCATTCACTCAATGGATTGAAGATCTGATTCCACTTGCTGCTTAGGAGCAAATTGCTTATAGATGTAGACCTTGTACGGAGAAATATAATGAAATATGGAACTCATTTATACAAAATACAGTAGGTTAAAAAAGAATGATAGTTATATAAATGTATTAGAAATTAATATATACATGCTTGAATAATATTTACATTAGATAAGTATATATATAAAATTGTAACTGTTAGTTGTAACAATATATTATTCTTCGTTTCTTTTTTCTATGATACTTTTACTTTTTAAGCACTTTTTAAGAATTGTTTTTTGAGAATGTATGTGTTTGCATTACAATTATTTTTGTGTTTTGTTTCTTTTTTGTTTCTTTTTCTGTTATTTTAAAAGCAATAAAAAAAATTTAAAAAATTTAAAAATTAAATGTTCCAGTATGAATTTTGAGTACTATGGGTTCAAAACCTCGCCCATTCATATCAGGGGAGGAGACATATGTAAGGAGACCCCCTTTAAGTTGTTAGGCTCCCTCCTTCTATGAGTGACTGGTGGGGCGATGGAGCTTCGTTTGGGCCTTAACTCTTTCCTGCCCTCCTCCAGCAACAAACCCTTGGCAGGTTGTCTCACTCACATCTCATAAGATGTCTCAAATCTAATAGGACATAACTCACAAAACTAATTACAAATCTGGAAGTGGGGGAGGTAAACATGTTGGGCCACTCGTTTGTATCCATGGTCAGATGACACCATGCAAAATCTCATAAAAACAGTGGGACTTTGATTCCTGCAGAAGACTTCGTTTTTATTTATTTCATTTATTTCTTTCTCTTTCTGAAACCTTTCTTTTCCTTTGTAAAAGAGTGATGGTCCCATTCTACCATGGGAGATTTTTTTAAGAAATTAAGTGTAACTTAGAATGGAAGTATAAAGCAGATAGAAAGGGCTTCCCTAAGAAATGTTCACATTTGATCTAAACATTTGTACTGGGGACAGAGATAAGCAAATGGGTCCCTGGTGCTTGCTAAGTGGTGCACATTTAAAATCACATTTCTGTTCTGCTTTTCAGAATGAGCTGCTCCTTTGTATTCAAATCAGGTCGAAAAAGAATAATGTAGCACTTGGGGAAAAAGATGCAGCCCAGCAGCCCAGCACTGGAGGCCAAGATGGAGAAGACCTGCACGGCCACCATGTA